TACTTCTGAAAGGTCACAGCCTCGAAAACCCTACGAAGCAGTTCTACTCTGCATACATGGGGTCACCAAGAGTAGTAGGTAACTCAACAGCAATTAACAATATGCAGCTGATGTTTAGGTATTTCTACTTGGATATCTCACAGGCACCTTATATTCAATATGCCAAACTAGTCTTCACCTCAAGATCCTGACACTCGCTTTTTCTGCCCAGGATGCTCTGCCCTCAGAAACAGACATGATTTGTTCCTTTGGGTCACTGGGGTCTCAGTTTAAGTATCACCTCACGGAGGCCATCTCTTAACTACCTCCTCTACTTTGCCCTTTACACCAAGCCACACACTTTTATCTAACACGTAACTACAGAAAGTTATCATATCTAATCATTTATGGTTTGTTTCTCACTACAAAAATGAAAGGTCCTTAAGAAGAGAAACATTGTCTTGTTCACTGCTATATCACGAGGGCTTACAACAGTGACCGGCACGTAGTAAATTTCAAGAAATACTTATTGAATGAATAAAAACTCCCAAATTATAAACCTTGAAAACATTGTGCTAAGTGAAAGAAGCCAAACACAAAAGGCTGCGTATTGAATGATTCCATTTACTTGAAATATTCAGGATAGGCAAATCTAGAGATAGAAAGGTTAGTGGTTGCCTAGGGCTGGAGAGGATGGAGGAAATGGGAGTGACGGCCAATGGGTACAGGGTTTCTTTTTGGGTGATGGCTGCACAACTCTGTGAGTATACTGAAAACCACTGAACTCTACACTTTAAATGGGTGAATTGTGTGTTATGTGAATTATAGCTCAATAAATCTATATCAATAATACATTAAACTCTCAGATTCACTCTAGACCTGCCCCACCTCCCATACTTAATCTGAGTCATCCTAACACTCTTCTGTCCTCTGCCCTCTCCAAAATATCCAATCAGTTACAAAGTCCTCAAGATTTTACTTTCTTACTCTCAAACCTATTTCTTTCCAAACGATTGCTGTTCATTTTACTCATGCCAAGCTCTCGTTGCTCATCACTTGGATTATTTCCATTACATTGTACAGGATTCCCAGTCTATTTTCCTCCACTTAGTCCACCTTCTTGTTTATCTGCTACCATGATGCTAAGAATGATTTTCCTAAATTGTAATCCTCACTATATAGCATGCCTGCTTAAGATCCTTCCTTGGCTCCCTAAAACTAACATGATGAAGGTCCAAACTCCTTTGTACGTATACAAGGGCCTTCTTAAGCTGCACCCTGATTGCCTCTCTCGCTTCATCTGCTAACCTTTTAGCCACAGCCATGAAACCATTCTCATGTTCACATGTGCCACCTCCTCCGCCTAAAACATCCTTGTCCCTACAATTTATCTATCTTTAATTCCTACTCGTTCCTAAGGACTCAGTTCATGCATCACATTTTCCAGAACACATACCTTTCTCTTCTCAACCCATGTTAGAAACCTTTCCCACAGTCTCATGACACTCAGTGCAATGCCTACCTTTACTATTATAATAAACCCATTGCCATTGAGTCGATTCCGACTCATAGTGACCCTATATTATAACCAACCAAAACCAAACACGTTGCTGTCGGGTGGATTCTGAGTCATAGCAACCCTATAGGACAGAGTAGAACTGCCCCATAGGGTTTCCATAGAGCAGCTGGTGGATTTGAATTGCCTACCTTTGGGTTAGCAGATGAGTCTTAACCACTGTGCTACCAGGGCTCTTATATTCTAATAGCTACCATTATTGAGCACCTGCAATGATCTTTACTCCTCACAACAAGGGTTGTTGCATTATTTCTATATAAGGAAACAGGTTCAGTGAGGATGCCCTAGCAAGTGGTAAAGCAGGGACTGGATTCCAGGTCTGACTCCAAAGTGATGGTCTCTCATTACTCCGAACCATCTGTCTAGAACTTTTCCCCCTGCAGTGCAATTTCTTCCAAAAGGATAAACTGAATTAAGTCAGCCCTTTGTCTTACTTGTATCCCCAGTGGCGAGTGCAGTGCTTGCCATGTAGGTTTGCTGAATACATGGAGATGACAGGTGTGAACTATGTAGGGGGACACTTGTGTTATGTCCTCAGTTGGTGCTCAATGAATCCTTATCAAATATGAAAGATACATCTTTTGAAAAATGCACACAATTAACGTGGTACTAACACCTAACTGTAAAGAAATGCTTGTGGATTCGAATTGCTCACCTATATGACAATGTTTCCCACATTTTTATCTCCCCTTCTAAGCAGCATTCCAGACCTGCACAGTGCTACTCTGGCAGAATGCCATCTCCAATGAAAGTAACAGCCGTCCTTAATCAACGGCTGAGTTTTGTCCTTTACAGCTCTGCTCTGTCTCCTCTCCAACTTTCTACCTTCCTTATTCCGTTAAAGTACTGAGCTCAGAACGTCGGAACTCATAGCAATTCTCTATTTCCTCTTTTTCACATCTTGGCAAATGTCAAGTCCTGGAGGCAATACAAAACAGATTTAGTCCTTCCTCGCACTGTTATAGGCTCATCTCATGCTGTCCCGCCATCAGCACCGCCGACTCCCTTAAGGCTGGCTCCGACGCGCCAAGTTCTGCGTTTTTGCTAACTGACAACCCTCTTTGGCTTATATGAAAGTGCCTAAGGGCTCCAAACCCCCCCTTTTTTTTTTTTTTTCACTTACAACATACCTTCCCCTGAGATTAAAAAAAAAAGCAAAACCCCATTCAACCTAACAGGCCCCTTCCAACCCGTAGTTCTCCAAACCCCTTCAGCCTCGGAGGCCTGGCCTGTAACTGCGGCTCAAAGGCAGAATGCTGAGGCATGTTGGAGTGAGGCGATTGAGGAGACCAACCACCTCCTCGCCTCTCACACATCCTGTGCCTTCATTCCCTCTCTCGTTGGTCCCTTACAGGGGTCGGATCAGCAGCTGGTCACTCTCCTCAGCAGGAATTGCAGACATCTCGGAAGGCTGAGGGAGAAGCCGAGATGAAAAACAGGCCGCCGGAGTCTTTTTAAATTGGAACCATAGCCAACGGGGACGAAAGAAGGAACTCCGTCCACCAAGAGCACAATTTCCGGCACGGTGGCGCCCGCGGAACTAGGCTCCTCCCTTCTCCTTCCGCTTGGAGAACTCGGTTTGCTAGGTTCAACCCCAGCACGGAGTCCGGAAGCCCGGAGCGGGTAGTGAGAACTGCGCCTGCTTATAATCTCAGGGGGTGTAAAGCAGGCGGGGAAAGGAGGGCTGAAAAAACTGGCGCTGGAATTAGAACAGGAATATCTGCCACCCGCGCCGGCTGCTGTAGCGGTCCGACTCTGATCCGAACCCAAAGCGGTTCCAGGGATAGGCCAGCGGCTGAGTCCTCGCCCCACCCAGAGATGAGCGCGCGCCCCCTGCGGGCGGCTCGAGTGTAAGTGACCGGGAACCGGGTTCCCGAGGGCGGCGCCGGGCGGGGTGAACCAGCGACTGGGACTTATGGGGTTGGGCTGCGAGAAGAGCCAGCGGTCTTCAGTGTCGCTTCGAGGGCGACCAGGTAGGAAGAGGGGGACCCAGAGGTGCGGGTGGCGGACGCGGGGTGCGGGCAGCATTGAGGTCGAAGAGTGGGGACCGTTGGGCAGGAAGGAGGGCATGCGTCTGCTTGCTCGGGCAGTGAGGTGTGGAGCAAACGTCCGAGTGCCAGGCTTCTTTTCCCGCCCTGCCACTGTCTGGTTGTGCGACAGTAAAGCCTGAGACGGTAGGTGATCGTGTCTGAATTTGTCCTGGCAGATAAGAGCAACATGGAATGGAAGCATCTCTAGCTGCAGGGTTGTCTTCCTGTATGTCAAGATGTGCCCTTTCTTGCCCTTTGAGAGGAGGGTGAGGAGATAAAGAGCTTCAACTGCCTTTTCCCGCTGCACGAAGGGTTGGGTCTGTCTTGTTTACTGTCGTATCTTCAGCACCCAGCAAGTGGCAGGCACTCCATAACAGAGTGGTGGCTGGGAAGAGCTTCAGAGCCAAGTCTTTCTAAGTTCAAAACTTGGCTGCATCGATTATTAGCCTGGTGACCTTGGCTCAGTCACTTAATCTCTTGGAGTTTTGATTTCCTCACTTGAAAGGGGCTGAAATACTACAACCTTGCTGGTCAGTAGTGAGGGTTGGTGATATATACAGCACCTAGCAATGTGCAGGGCTCAAGGTAGGTGTTAAGTAAATGACAATTGTTATTTGAGTGTCAACTCCCAAGAAGTTTCTTAGGTTGGTTAAGCATGTGCTCCGTCAGGCTGTGCTAGGCACTTGGGATACAGAGGATGAATAACCTAGCCCCTGCCTTTGAGGGGCTTACAGTGTAGAGAGATAGCTAGGAGAAGACAGTGTTGTGTGCTGCCGTGAAGTCGATTCTGACTCATAGCGACCTTATAGGACAGAGTAGAACCTCCCCATAGGGTTTCTAAAGCTGTGATCTTTGTGGAAGCAGACTGCCACGTCTTCCTTCCACAGAGCGGCTGGTGGGTTCAAACTGCCAACCTTCCGGTTAGCAGCCTAGTGCTTAACCACTGTGCCAACAGGGCCCCTTTCATAGGTAGACAGTAGCAGATTATAATGCTGTGATGGAGGTGTATACAAAAGCTATGGAGGAGGGATCTGTTAGCCCAACCTGGAGGTCCAAAGAAGACTTTCTAGAAGAAAAGAAGCCTGAAATGAGTCAAATGAAAGACGATTAAGAGTTAGTCAGGTGAATAAAAGATGGAAGGGACTGGGTCTGTTCCAGGCAGAGGAAATGGCAGGAGCAAAGCATGGAAACTGTGTATATTGAGAGTCACAAGCAGTTTTACATTCCTTAGAGACTGAAGTTTGAAGCAAGTTGTTACGGAAGATGTGGCTGGAAAGGTAAAGAGGGGCCAAGTAATGATTACCTTGTATGTCTTGGTGAAGAGCTTTGACTTCAGTCTAACTTTGAGGAGCCATTTAAGATTTTAAATAGGTTAGTGACATCAAATTTGTGTTTTCAATAAATCATTTTGTACTGTGGTGGTAGATTTAAAGGTGGCTAGGATTCTAAGTTAGAACAAGGTCCCTCATCCATGATATTTTTTCAGAGGGTTTGTGAATTTCTTAAATTGCGTGCGAAACTTTGTGCATGTGTGCATTTTTGTGGGTTGAGGGTCTATCACTTTCATCAGATACTAAAAAAAATAGTTATATAAAGCAATAGTCTGGTGATGATGGGGACCTGATGTTGGGCACTGTTAGATGGAGTAGGGAACTAGTTAGGTGATGTGTTCAGTGGTTCTTGGTGCTTGGCTGGGTGTGGGGACTGAAGGATAGGGAGGGGCCTGGATGACTCCCAGTTTCTAGCTGGAAAATACTGTAATTTCCTGAAAGCGAGAGTATAGGAGAGGAGTGCATCTAGAGAGGAAGGTGATGAGTGCAGTGTTAGGCATTTTTGCATTTAATGAGCCTGTGGAACAGCCCAGTGACAGTGAGAATCATTGGCCTCATTTTTCTGCCTGAATAATTTAGAACCCAGAATGATTTGCTGAAGAACTTCCATCAAAATATGGCAGATATCAAAGGCTTTAATAAATGTTTTTTTTAGAGCTCCTGGACTGATTCAAAAGAAAGCCTTAAGGAGTTGTAAAGGCATTATATTATAATGTAGGAGTTTTCAAATCATTCCAGTGTTCGAGGGATTTGAGGAGATGCTTTAGGATTCCACTAACAATAGAACCAAATTTTATTTTTAAATCATATTTGAAATAGCTATATAGATAATATTTATATAATGTGCATAAATATGTTATACTGACATTTTAACCCACTAGAGACTGCTAACATCTTGCTTTACACTGCTGGGTTAACCCATTTTTGGGCAACCTTGGAATAAGGCTCTCCTGCCTTCTCTCTTTTATTGAAAAGTATCCTGTGATGACAGGGTTATCATTTGCAACAACTTATCTGTAACAGCCCTCTAACCAGACGCCCTTTTTTATTCTTGTCCTATGTAGTTAGTTCTTCACCCAGTAGCCAGAGTCATCTTGCTAAAACAGAAATCTAATCATGTCATTTGACTACTTCAAAGCCTCCAGCATCTTCCTGTTAAACCCAGACATTTGTAGTGATCTACAAGACCTTCTGTGATCTGGCCCCTGCCTGTCTTCCTCCTCATCTGTCTTTCTCCTTAATCCTGCTCTAGCCGTATTGACCTTTTACTGTTCCTTGCATCAAACTTGTTCCCTCAAGGCCCTTAAACTTGCTGTGCCCTCTATCTGAAATGCTTTCCCTCCACACCTGCGTATAGCTGCCCTCACTTCATTCAGCCTTCATAACTCTCACTTCTTCAGAGCGTCTTTTTCTATCTAAAATGCTCACCCCTTCCTTTAGTCAGTCTGTATTGCCTTAACTTGCTTCAGTTTTTCTCATAGCAACCACTGTTTCCTAATAATATGTTTTTCTTGTTGGTCTGTTTACTCCCTCTTAAATAGAAGCTCCATGAGGTTAGAGGCTTTGTCTGTCTTTGTATCTCCAGCTGATGTGTCCCCAGCACCTAGTAGGTGCTCATTGACTACTCAGGAGTGAATGAAGGAATGAATGAATCAGATTTTCTTGCTACTCCACAAATGAAGTGAGAGTATAGAAATAAATTGGATGATGAGACTGATAAAAGAACCTGGACTCAGGAGTCAGACTTGGGTAATAGCCTAAGGTCATACCTGTAAGTGGACTTAGAGTAGGGTCTTCAAATACAATGGGAGAAACTTTCAGTTGGAGCAGGGACGTTAATTGACCACCTCATGATTTATTCATTCTTTTCCCTTCATCAGGTACATTGTTTTTCCCAAAAAAAGTGACCATGTCAGAATGAAAGGAAGCCATCTGTGTAGACTGTTGTCTGTGGAACTTTTGAAGACAATAAAATAGTAGCAGATTCCATAGTAAGCCGATTTCCTTATTCCCTTTGTAGAATTCAATTTGTAGTAAAATTTGTTAGGTTATCTTATTCATAAATGCTCTTGAAAGATGGGCCATGGTTCCTTCATATATAAAATGCAGATTATACCCTACCTTCTCTAAGCCCTTGAGAGTAGGGGCTTAGAGCCTCCAGCACAGTAAGTGGCACATGGTAGACCCTTACAAGATATCTGTGCATCTAACAAATACATCACAGGGTTGCTGTTAGGATAAAATGAGAAAACATGTTTGAAAGTACTTTGAACTTTGAAATATGCAGGTTAGTTAATAATAGTTTTCTCAGTAAAATATATTAGGTCCTATGAAATGGACAAAGGTAAAGCTTATTAATGTTTCCAAGGCGTTGAATATTAATTTTTAAAAAAGGTATATGAAATTGACTCTGCAAAACTTAACATCACCTCCTTACCTGGCCTTATTGCAGTGGGGAGATAAGAAGCTATCACCTGGGAATGTTTTTATGTGTTTTTACTTTAAAGATATTTCAAGATTTTAAGAAAAATGCACATTTCTGAGAAGTCGGTATGTCTTCTGTTCTTAGCCCTACCAGTTACAGAATGTGACACCAGGACAGTAACTTAATCCCAATATTTTGGCTGGTAAACTGGTTGTTGTATCACGTATTTTGCTAAAATCTTGAATTGATTAAAGAGAAATCAGGCACTTGAGTATTTTGAAAAGTAGATGACATGTATAACTTCTGAGAGAAGTGCTTTTCATACTTCTAGATATGACAGTTAGATTTCTGCCCTTTTGGTTTATTGGTTTCACTTTTTGTAATTTAAGAAGAAAGCATGAGAAAGGATAATATCCAAATTTTGTGGTCAAGGGAAAATATTTATGTTGTAAGTAAAAGGAATATACTTATACAACCAAAAGGAATGAATGATTTTTAATCTTATTACACAAAAGGTGATTGTCATGGATTGAATTATGTCCCCCCAAAAATGTGTGTATCAGTTTGGCTGGGCCATGATTCCTGGTACTGTGTGATTTTCCTGTATGTTGTAAATCCTGCCTCTATGATGTTAATGAGTGAGGATGGGTGGTAGTTGTGTTAGTAAGGCAGGACTCAGTCTACAAGATTGGATTGTGTCCTGAGGCAATCTCTTGAGATATAAAAGAGAGAAATGAGCAGAGAGACAGGGGTACCGCATATCACCAAGAAAGCAGTGCCAGGAGCAGAGCGTGTCCTTTGGACCCGGGGTCCCTGCACGTAGAAGCTCCTAGACTGGGGGAAGATTGATGAGAAGGCCGACAGAGAGAAAAAGCCTTCCTCTGGAGCTAACGCCCTGAGTTTGCACTTTTAGTCTACTTTACTGTGAAGAAATAAATTTCTCTTTGTTAAACCCATCCATTTGTGGTATTTCTATTATAGCAGCACTAGATAACCAAGACAGTGATTTAAAGTCGCTTTTCATGATAGAATTGTAACCAACATTTGTTTTTCCAGAGGAGCGTCTTTGGATCGAGCTATGGTGAAAAATGTTTCGGAAAGGCAAAAAACGACACAGTAGTAGCAGTTCCCAAAGCAGTGAAATCAGTACTAAGAGCAAGGTAGGGGGAATGAAATTTGGAATGGACTCACAGAGCACTGAGACTTTTGTTTCTTCTGATACTGCATAGAGGATACTAACTAGGGCAGACTGTCTGCCATCTTCAAACTAGGTGTGTTTTAACATTCATTTTTAAGCTAGAGACACATTCTGTACTTGGTTTCATTTTATTTTGTGTTGGTAGATTTTCTGAAATTCTTAAAGAGTCTAAACTAGAATGGATGCAACCTATGAATTATTTCATTGAAACATACACTGATTTTTTAATTTTTTAAATGCTACAAATTGCAGATGATTAAGGGGCCGGATCTCTTGAATTCCAGAGTTTGGTGGCATGCATAACTATAATTCTTTCTACTTAACAGTGAACTTGGCAAATACCTGTATTCCAGAGACTTTCTGAATGTTGTTTGACAGTATGCATGGATCTAATTCATGTAAAACAAACCTTTGAAGATCTATTCAACAGGCCACTTTGGTGTCCTATTCAAAGGTCAGGGTGAAAGAGTATAAAGATGATAGCTGAATTATATCTATTCTAAGAATTTTAGGTTTGTGATGCCCATTTGTTGGTGCGTAGGAGAACAATATTCTTTTCTGCCTCCTGGACTATAACACGAAAACTCTTGTTCAGTCGTTCACTCATACTGAGCACTATTGTTGTTGTTATTGTGTGCTGTCAAGTTGATTCTGACTCACAGCGACCCTGTAGGACAGAGTAGAGCTGCCCCATAGCGTTTCAAAGGCTGTAATCTTTACAGGAGCAGATCGCCAAGTCCTTTCTCCCACGGAGCTGCTGGTGGGTTCGAACTCTTGACCTTTCCGTTAGCAGCCAAGCGCTTAACCCTTGTGCCACCAGGGCTCTTAGATTGAGCACTACTATGTGTCAAATATTGTTTTTTTACTTGCAGAGGCTAGAGCAGTTAAAAAGAGAGGGAAAAAAAAAAAAAAGCCAGCCCTCATAGATCTTACATTCTAGTTGGGGGAGAAAAAAATAAGTAAAATATAAGAGTATGTCAGATAGTGAAAACTTCTATGGGAGGAAAGAAATCGCAGGGCATAGAGTGGTGGGGGGTTGGGAGTGATGCAGTTTTAAACTACTGCAATTTTAAATTTGGAAAAGGTTTTATTTTATAGCTGATATTTGAGCAGAGGCCTAAGGAGATGAGGTAGCCTGGTACCTGGAGGAAGAGCGGCTCAGGTGGAGGAAACAGCAGGTGCAGAGACCTAAGGCAGGAGCGTGCCTGCCAGGTTTGAGGAACAGCAAGAAGACGGTGCGACTGGGGTGGAGTGAAGTCAGGCAGGAGGGGTGTAGATGACGTTAGAGAGGTGGGGGAGTCGGGTTATGTGGGGCCTTGTAGGCCATCGTAAAGACTTGGGCTCTTACTCTGAGCGAGGTGGAAACCATTGGAGAGTTTGGGGCAGAGGAGTGACATAACCTTATTAAGTTTAATTGGAATCACTTTGACTGCTGTTAACGGAGGCAAGGTTGGCAGCAGAGATATCAGTTGGGAGGATGTTGTAATAATCCCAGTAGAATGATGGAGGCTAGGACAGGAGGGAGGTGGTACAAGTGATGATAAGAAGTCATATTCTGGATGTATTTTCAGACTAGTGCCAACAGGACCTGTTGGTAGATTGGCTGTGGGGTGTGAGAACAACAGAGGAGTCAAAGGTTATACCATTCAAATAACAACAGTCGATTGAATTCTTTTTTTTTTTCTCTTTCTCTTTTTTTTATTGTGCTTTAAGTGAAAGTTTACAATTCTAGTTAGTGTCTCATACAAAAATTTATACATACATTGTTATGTGACCCTAATTGCTCTCCCTCTACTGTGACAGCACACTCCTCCTTTCTACCCCGGATTTCCCATGTCCATTCAACCAGCTCCTGACCCTCTCCCCCTTCTCATCTCACCTCCAGACAGGAGCTGCCCATTTAGTCTCATGTATCTACTTGAGCTAAGAAGCACACTCTTCACAAGTATCATTTTATGTCCCATAGTCCAGTCTAATCTTTGTCTGAAGTGTTGGCCTCTGGAATGGTTTTTGTTTTGGGCCAACAGAGAGTCTGGGGGCTGTGTCTTCCAGGGTCCCTCCAATCTCAGTCAAACCAGTAAGGCTGGTCTTTTCACTAGAATTTGCGTTCTGTACCCCACTTTTCTCCTGCTCCCTCAGGGACTCTGTGTTGTGTTCCCTGTCAGGGTGGTCATTGGTGGTAGCTGGACACCATCTAGTTCTTCTGATCTCAGGCTGATGAAGTCTCCGGTTTACGTGGCCCTTTCTGTCTCTTAAGCTAATGCTTTCCTTGTGTTTGGTGTTATTCATTCTCCTTTGCTCCAGGTAGTTTGGGACCAAATGATGCATCTTACATGGCCACTTGCAAGCTTTTAAGACCCCAGACGCCACTCACCAAAGTAGGATGCAGAACATTTTCTTGATAAATTTTGTTATGCCAGTTGACCTAGATGTCTCCTGAAACCGTGGTCCCCAGAGCCTCACCCCTGCTACTCTGTCCCTCGAAGTTGATTGAATTCTTTATAAAGTGTAAAGCACTTTCACATACTTAACCTCATGTGAGCTTCCTGGTTAATAGGTACCCCCTCCCCCCACCCCCCATGATCTAGCCTCTTAGCGTTTAGGTAAGTTGTGCTAACTGTTTTGGAAAGCAGAAAATGTATTTCTTCTAGTTGTTTCAGATATTGAGACATGATTAATACAATTAATACATAGAATACTCCAGACACAGTAAATAACCAAGAAAAAGTGAAATTGTATTATAGCTGTCAGATATTACTTGAATAATTCAGAGACTAGGAATATTGTAGAGCTAAAGCTGTGAAGGAAGTCTTCAAAAAAAACAAAATGTGGGAAGTGAATGGGGCTTTGAAATATGTGGGTGGAATGTGAATAAGTTTAGAAGGTTAGACATTCCAGTTCCAGGCAAGAAGATCAGTGTTATTGCAGGTAGGAACTGAGTCTGGTAAGTCAGCTGGATGGTGACGCAAATACCCTAATTAGAACCTTAGAGAAGTAGAGTATTTGAATTCGAAGGGACCTTAGAGATTGGTGGCACAGTGGCTAAGAGCTTGGCTGCTAACCAATAAGTCAGCAGTTGAAATCTACCAGCCACTCCTTGGAAACCCTGTGGGGCACTTCTGTTTTGTCCTATAGGGTTCTTATGAGTCAGAATAGACTCAACTGTGGTGAGTGTAGAGATTTCCTCGTCCAGTGGTTCCTACATTTTTTCTACTGAGGAGCCTTCCTTATCATTTCCCCCCTTGTGAGCTCTCTATTTTAAAACACTGTGTAGTCAGGGCTGGGACTAGGGTGAGGCAAGAGAGGTGCCCGAGGCACAAAACTTAAGGAGGCATTCACTCCCAGGGTCATGCAAGTGCCAACCTTGAAAGTGACGCCTTCTTAAATTTTGCATCCTAGGCACCTTCTGGGCCTCACCCTAGTCCCTGCCCCTGCCCTGCGTGACCAAACCATTAGACCACAACGTCCATACTTTGAAATGAAGACATCCACGACTGCCATTCGGGATTTTCAGTCAGGGCGAGATAACCAGCGTCATCACTGACTTGATATACTTCCAGCCGAAAGCACAGCAACTTGACATTTTAGTAACCCCGTGCAGTCTTAGAATGGGAAAATTAATCGTTTTCTTTAAAGTTTTTGAACTCCTGGAGCTAGTCCCAGAACCTCCTTACTGCTGCCTTCACAAGCCCTAAACATAAGGATCTTGTTTTCTAAATCAGAAAACAGATGGACTGAATGCTCGCTATTGGCAGAGCTGGTACTAAAGTCCAGATTTTCTGATTCCTGTAAGGACCTTGTTAGTGGCTCTTTGATGTGGCTGGTGCCCAGCATGCGGGCAGTTGGGGCAGTGGGCTGGAGGAATGCAGAAGGAGCCTTTGTGCGCCACGTCGAGGCGTGCACATTTTATCCTGGAGGGGAGGGGGAGTCACTGTGTGGTTTTAAAGCAGAGTTGTGACTGTTAGATTCATGTTTTAGGATGACGCTTCTTTTGTTATATCCTGAACATGGGAAAAATAGGTCAGTTGTCTCTCTTCCTGTTCTAGGTAATGGCGTTTTCCTGTGTAGAGGGGTCATTTGAAGCCCAAAAGCTCGTTCTGGCCTGTTACTGGCTTCAGGAGTTTACTCATCCCAGAAGCCAGTCTGAATTTGTAATATTATCTGAATTCCACCACCCTCGCCTATTGAACATTTAGGTTATTTCCAGGTTTTCAGTACCGCAGATAACATCATGATGAACATTTTTGTGCATATAGTTCTCCTCATCTTAGATTATATTCCAAGAAGTGCAGTTATTGAGAAATGGAAGGCACATATTTAAGACTTGATATATTCTCATAGTCACCTTTGATTCACTTCTAAAACTTATAAAAAATTTGAGCATACTTTTACCTTTTCATTTTGATTTGAATCACCAGTGACCAACTTTTTTAATTGAAAGTTTTCACAGAATGTTTTTTCTAATTAAGCACCCTGAGAGTATAATTCTATAAAATGAACGACGTTTATATATGTGATTCTCTGTCAGTTTTGTTGATTTCTCATTGAAATTCACATTGACAGTTACATTTGGTCTACCAGTTAGCCTGTGTATAACTTCCATGTGCCGGATACTAGTTGGAATACAATTGCAGAAGACTGGATTCAGCATTTGAGATCTGAGGCATTTACTAGATGTGACCTTGGATCTGAGGCATTTACTAGATGTGACCTTGGATTAATTCCTTAACCTCTCTGGGTCTGTTTCCTCGTTTCTAAAACAAGGATGATACTCCTTGCCTGCTTCCTGCACTGGGTTGTTTTTGTGTTAAGTAGAAATAATGTGAAAGCAAGGTATAGATTTTCACATATAACATAAATAGAAGGTATCTTTTAAGGACATAGAGTAATAGCTTTGATTTTGATTTATCTAATTTTTTTAAAGAAAAGTATCCAGTGTTGTTTATGGGAAGAGCAGTTGGGATCATGTATTTTTCAAAGTTTGCAATAGTGTTTGTCTTTAGGAAAATGTGTCGTGGTTGATGTGCTTGAATAACTTACCCAATTTTTTCTCTGTCCATTTAACTAGAATAAACAGTAATTTGAATGTGTTTAGTAGAGTCTTGGGAGAAGACAGTCTTACTATATTGTGGTTTTTTGTTTCTCAGTCTGTAGATTCTAGCCTTGGGGGGCTTTCACGATCCAGTACTGTGGCCAGCCTCGATACAGATTCCACTAAAAGCTCAGGTATGTCAAGGGGTTGGATCATTTATTATCTAAGGCTTTTGACTTCTATTCATGTAGTTTTATCAGTGTAGCACAAGGGGTTCTTATGTATTTGGGGTTTTCTTCCTCTCCTTTGTCATTTTTGATTAGTATTTAGAAATAGACCAAGATTTGGTGGCATATGGGTTGAGGGTATGGAGTAGCTGGTGGAAGTGACTGTGTTGGAGGTTGGCAAGAGCACGTGGGCAGACTTCTCTCAATGGGCCTGAGGCTAAAAATGCTTGAAAAACATTGCGTGGCAAGAATTTAGAAGTTTCAACAGATGCTACCCTTAATTACTTTGTTGTTCCTGATGTTATTGAGCTAGTGTATCTCGGTGTATCTCCAGGTAAATTGCTCCTTAATCCTTTTAATCAGCAAGATATTTGTCCCGCTCCCCATAAATAATTCCTTTATTGCTAGCTCACCCTCTGCCACACCCTTTTTTAAAAAGCTGTTTTGAAACTTCTAAATTTTTAAACATCTGCATACCGAAGATTCTGACTCATAGTGACCCTGTATAGCCACCTGAAATTAGTAGCTCCTTGGAAATCAAAAGGCGGCTTCTAACCCAAGCGCCATAAATAGCTAGTGACTAATTGGAAATATACTATATGCATTTTCTTATCTAAAATCCTTTCTACTTTTCCCTTTAGGATCACTGATTAGTCAATCTATAAAAGGCAAGAAGTAGAACCAGATGATGTAAAAGAGAATGTTATAAGGTCTATTATCTTTTCTTCTAGATGCCTCTAAAATATTGAAAACGTTTGCATCCTTTTATTAAATAATCATAACCTAAAAGTAATCATATAATGTTCCTCTAATATAGTAGATATCATAAACGCTTTGTGTTAATTTCTGAAATGGCTCAATTTTGTAGCATACACACAGTTTTTCAACCTGTTCTCTGTTAAAGGGACTTCCTGTCTGGCATTATTCCATCTATATTTTGAAAAAAAAAATTTTTTTTTTTTGGACTGAATGGTAGAGGAAGACCAGGCTTCCTGAATCAGGAAAGAAATTTGAAAGTTAACATGGTAAAGAGGGAGAGGAAACAAAAGAAATAATTAAATATCGTTATGCATTAGAAAGGCACTGAATCATCTAGTCGACGTTTTATTTTTCCTGCCTGTTCTGAAATGAAGGATATTAATACTTAATGTATTCCTTTTGAGATTTGTATATATCTAGCATACATTCATTGTGAATCACTTGAGGAAAAGGTTGGTGAAATTTTAAGGTCTTTCCCATTCCATCAAAAACTTTTGTGTTTTTTAAATTTTTATGAAAGGTTAAGTTCTAATGACACAGTCTGTTTCTTATTTGAGAAAAGACTGACAGAGCATCTGTAATGCAAGTATTTCTTTTGAAGCCTTACTATTACAATGTTTCTTTTAACTTTAGGACAAAGCAACAGTAATTCAGATACCTGTGCAGAATTTCGAATAAAGTATGTCGGTGCCATTGAGAAGCTGAAACTCCCTGAGGGAAAAAGTCTGGAAGGGCCACTAGACCTGATAAATTATATAGATGTTGCCCAGGTAAAAGAAAAAAAAAAATTCAAAGCCTCTGGTTATAAGACTCTTGACAGGAAGCTCATGCCTTTGAAGGGAGAAGGATGTTCACTGTCCCAGGCCCACTGGATGGCACCCTTCTCCCGTCTTCCCTGAAGACACGGCTCCGGGACTTTTATTACTGTTGTAAATGTGTACTGAGCGCTGTGGTTGTAGGTGGTATGAAGGTGCCTTGGAGGCTGAGTTGCATAGGATCACAGAGACCACTGTTCCTGCCTTTAAACATAGTACCTTTTTTTAAACTTTTTAATGGGGTTGTCTGATCTCCTTGTTTAAATGAGTTGATGGTGGTGACTGATGACACACAATAGGTTTTCCCTTTAAAATAGTCTGACAAACTGTACAATTAGTAAATTGCTTCCCGAGTTTCTGGAAGATGAAATTGCATGTCTTTGTGTTCATTAACAAAGGGATATTACTACCTTAGGAAGATTTCTTTATCTATTTTTAGAGTTTTAGTTCCTGTTAAGAATGTAAGGTCTCTTAAATTATGGAGAATAGGTCATTAAATATAATGTTTCCTTCCCTCATGAAAGCAAAGGAAGTTAATTCTGAGGAACATTCATGAATTTACTTTGTTATTTAACAAGGAAGTCTTGGTCCGTCTGTGCTACAATTAGTATTCCAGTGTTTAGTTTGGAATATAAAGTCATTCCCACAATGTATAAGGAACAGCTCTTCTAAGTAAAGAATTGTACTGAAAGATTGTTGATAATGTGATAATGCTTCCCCTCAAAAGTACACTAGCATTATTTCCCTTTATAAGGACTACTAAATTTTTTATATCACTATAAAATTCTGGCTTGTTAAAATTTTGTTACTGATAATAGGGCATCTCTGTTTTTAAAAACAATTACTATTGTCCTTTTGATTCTTAGAATTGCTTTAAACTGACGGTGAGAAATGTTTGGCAAGAAGTTACTGTAAGAATTAAGGACATAGCTTATTTACTTTAGTTTCTTTAATGTAGGCACATGGTTCCACAAAAAACATTTATAATATGGAACATCTGCTGATTGCCAGAAATATTTTATTTAAAAAAAGACAAATTTGGCAGTATTCTAATTTAGGAGATAAAACTGGATAATCTGCCAGGGAAACCATCAGGGTCTATCTGCTGTTTTACTTATTTCTCAATAGCTGAAGTTCCTGATGAGTATTTTTGAAGGCTGAGTAAGCACCTACCGAGCAGGGTTTGCCTGCCCCAGGCAAACCTAAGAACCTGGATGAGACAGAAAGTGGCTGTGAGCAGGACGGCTCCTGTGGCCACGTCTCCTTATCTGTTCATGTGCTGACACTACCATAAGCTTTGAGTGTTTTTAAATCTAAATAAAGACCTTTATTTTTCTAATATTTTAACCTAACCAAAACCCAAAAAAACTAAACTCGTTGCCTTCAAGTCGATTCTTATAGCAACCCTATAGGACAGAGTAGAACTGTCCCATAGGGTTTCCAAGGAGCGGCTGGTGGATTCCAACTGCCAGTCTTTTGGTTAGCAGCCATAGCTTTTAACCACTGTGCCACCAGAGCTCCTAAAAACCAAACCTGTTGCTGTCGATTTGATTCCAAATCCTAGCGACCCTGTAGACAGGGTAGAACTGCCCCATAGGGTTTCCAAGGAGCGGCTGGTGAATTCGAACTGTCAGCCTTTTGGTTAGCAGCCTGAACTCTTAACCACTGTAACACCAGGGCTCCTTAACCTCACCAGGACCTGTAAAAGTATCTCAGTTTGTAACTAGGGTTAACCCCAAGCCAAAGGGATAGAAGAATACACATTAAATGGATCTGAATTTTGCTCCGATTTATGGACTGCAAAAAAAAAAGGGGGGGAAAATTTTTCTTTGGAAAGAAATTCTTGCTGGGCTGTTATGTATCCTACATTCTTTACAGGGTTAGTTTTCTGGTGGGCAGGCACTAGAAGTGACTAATCAGACTTAAGGATATAGTGTAATTTGTAATGTATATCATGGAATTTCATTTATTTTCTACTTTACAGCAAGATGGAAAGTTGCCTTTTGTTCCTCTGGAGGAAGAATTTATTATGGGAGTTTCCAAGTATGGTATAAAAGTATCAACATCAGATCAGTATGTAAGTATGTAATCTATTAAGGAAAAGTGTATCCTAGGCATTAGGGAGTTCATGCCTCTAAAGGCCTTTTTGTAGTTAGGTCTGCTCCTGTTTGCAGAGTGGTTTTGTAAACATTACTGGCAGCTGGTGTTAAACATGATCAATTTCTTAGGGTGACTGGGGCAGCCTTTTGTATCTCCTGTGCAGGTAGGGGCTGTGCCAGCATCCCCACCAATGCCTCCTAATGCGTGTTCAACTTAGGACCCCGCCTCAATTAAGACCAGCTGCCAGCCTGGAAGCTGGGCAGAGAAGGGAGAGTGAGTTTAGATCACCTTCCTCCTGTATTTCTAGAACTTAAAGGTGTGATCCTGAAGACAGAACGCCCCATAACTGAGCGTACCAGAATGTCCCTTTGGGTAAAAAACCTATACAGCTGTTTTTTGCCAAACATGGATAGGCTATCTTAAATGCGTATAAGAACTGAGATACATATAAGATAGTCATGACCTTTCTGGATTCTCACTGATTTCTGCAGGATGTCTTGCATAGACATGCTCTGTATTTAATCATCCGGATGGTGTGTTACGATGATGGTCTGGGGGCAGGAAAAAGCTTACTGGCTCTGAAGACCACAGATGCGAGTAACGAAGAATACAGCCTGTGGGTTTACCAGTGCAGCAGCCTGGTGAGATTTTAAGTTACCTTGGTTGATTTCTTATTGCTTAATCAAACGAAGTGGCAAAATCCAGAGACTTTATTTTCCAGTCTTTTCAAAGGCTGACAAGATGCTGTCCATTATATATCTAATACCTGACATAGTAACAATTAATGAATACCAGGCCCGGGAGCAACATTCACTTGTGCCTGTATTTAAAGGTTTAGGGTGAACATAAAGCAGATGAGGGAAAGAGGTGTGTTCCCCCATGGGCCAGGACATCCCTCCTTTTTTGTATATTGTTGTCCTTATTGATGCTGTGATAGTCCTCACATGCTAAAGTACCAAGTGGGTTTATTCTAAGGAGAGCAGAAAGGGCCACACGTGCAAGGGGACACCAGGATGTGTATTCTGCTAACCAAGGCAGGCGTGTGTAGTGGGCCTTCCAAAACTGCTGATGGGTAGGCATAGGAGAGGGGTTTGAGAGCCAGATTTATACTTTTGCTGGTCATCACATCAAATTAAGTTCAGGAAGAGATTTATGAACATTTTTCTTACTGTATGTTTTCACATAATGTAGGAACAAGCACAAGCAATTTGTAAAGTTTTATCCACGGCCTTTGACTCTGTCTTAACATCCGAGAAATCCTGAATTCTGCCATCAAGTGGACGTCACCGTCATTTGAAAGTTCATTTGCTTTCTAACCAGCTCTTTTCAATCTGCAATGCTGAAGTATTGTGGAAATTGGAAGTGACCCCTTGTTCTGGATTTTCTGAAGAAAATGCAGGGTATGAAGTATTGGTCATTTGTTTTTATATTAAAATGTATCTTATTAAACAATGAGTTAACTCTCAATGAAGTTATTTATTTTCTGGGGTTAAAAAAGAAACCTCATTTGTCATTTTTATATGCAAATAAACTTAACACCTAACTGCAATAAAAGTCCACTCAGTGGATAATGAACACGGAGAACTTGTCAGAGGAAGACTAACGTAATCTGTTCTGTACCAGCCTCCCACTGATGCAGTGTCACTGGCTTGGAGGTCTGTTGTTGTTAGTTGCCACCGAGTCAACTCTGACTCATGGCGACCCCATGTGTGCAGAGTAGAACTGCTCCGTAGGGTTTTCAAGGCTGTGACTTTTCGGAAGCAGGTCACTAGGCCTGCCTTCTGAGGTGCCTCTGGGTGGGTTCGAACCGCCCAACCTTTCGGCTAGCAGTCAAGCGCTCAACCGTCTGTGCTTGGAGCTCCAGTCAGTCAAAAAGTTTGGACTGGGGACCTGGCTTTGTGTGTTTTAGAACAGTGACATAGCCAATTTAAGACACAAAAAGTAAATTTTTTAAAAATATCTTGTCAGGATGATGTGTATAAGCCACAGTTTTTATTTCAGAGTTAAAAGAACCTTCAAAGATTACCCCTCATGCTCAGACTAACTAGTATTTAAAGAATCTCCTGTATAGTATGCTGCCGCTGTCGTTTGCCGTCGAGCTGATTCCGACTCTTAGCCACAGAGTAGATGTATATGAACACAGCAGAATTGCCCCACGGAGTTTCCAAGGCTTTAATCTTTAAAGAAGCCCACTGCCACGTCTTTCTCCTGTGGAACAGCTCATGGGTTTCAACCGCTGACCTTTGGGTTAGTAGCCAAGTGCTTAACCATTGTGCTACTAGGGCTCCTTAGTGTATTTAAGAGGGACCATCTTAATAACGCTTTAAAGATAAACAAAGTAAAAGTAAAACCATGTCCATTTAAAAGTGTTTTTATTTTTTTCCAGTCAAATGACTAGTTAACAAGGAGAGTAAACTTATTAAACATGCTCTAATTATAAATCACTGCATTAAGGACAACGAAAATAAGAATTGATTTAGGTTATACAGTATATACAGTTGCGCTGCAACTAGACCAAAGTAATCAAGTAAATGAATTGAATATCATACATCTCCAATAGCATTCCAAGCTGCCTGTTACATCATCCACCCCTGAAGAGTAACACAGTAACTGTTGGTCTGTGCACAGATTTCTGAGTCATCATCCCCTGAAGTCAGATCTGATGGAAATGGCATGCAAAATGCCAGAATCTTGCAGCTGAAGTTCATGAAACATAAACTTTAAATATAAATAGGTATCTACAATGTTTTTCTTTCTCTGTGTTTTGTTTTTTTTAATTTGCAAAGAGCAAATACCTAGGAAAGGATATTAGCAGGGAAGTTAATAGAATTTCTCTTCTGACAAGAATAATATTAATTACTGCACAATAGCACCACCAAATTGTAGACTGGAAAAATATTTCCTAGATATTCATGTACCAGTGAACCTGATAGATTCGTGTGGGACTGGAGTTCAAATGTTGACATAAGTCAACTTTAATTCCTTGTACAGCTGGCACCAGGCGGTCAAAAGGCTGATTATAAGATACAGATGCTGGAGGATTGTGTTAAAATATACATAAGAAGTGCACTGTGCAAAATACATCTGTTTACTTTGTTAAATCTATGAATTAAAACTAAATGAAAGGATCAAAACAATGGAAGTTAACAATTAGTGAAAATAGATGTAGTGCTTTTAAAAAAAGACTTTAATTACAGATCTAACACATTTTTACCCGGAACTCTGAAAGGCAGAGAGCAAAATTGCCGTACAACATCATAAAACATTCCAGTTTGTTCTGTCTTCTTTATAATAGCAACAAAATATTCAATGCAATTAAAAAACCAACCAACAAAAAAAAAGTCTACACCTACAAGAGTCTTGCGTGGTAAAAACAGGCTGCTTCAATCAAATGTACCATCGTAACAACTGCGGTAATAGCATTGTTGCCTCGCTTTCCAAGCCTATACTTAAATTTATTCCTTTAATTTTTGTTAAAAATCCCGGTGGGCATCATATGTCTATTCTCAAAAAGTGCCAAAATTCCCAATATTCCTACTATGAATCTTATGCTCACAATTACTAGATAGAGGTATGACAGTCAAGTTCATTAACTAATGACTTTTTATTTTATCATATACAACCTAATTTCCCCCCAGTAGCTTAAGTTTACGAATGACGTGATGAACTTAATACTAAAATTGGGATATTTAAGAGTATTTTATTACCAGGGACCTACAGATTTCTGATATGCTCTTGATTACAAATGGACAGATCAAATTTCAAGACAGTGTAACTACCGTTCCTGTTGATATATAAATACAAGACACTAAACTGCATAAACATCCTCATGTGCTAGACAGGGAAGGCAGTGGTACACTCCAGAGGAAACAGCATTCTGATACGTTAACATGATGGTCTGCACCACAACATTCTGTTTGTGTACAGTTGCTTTCTGTGTGGTTAAAGAAGCTCAAGAAGGCAAATTCCAAAACACTTAAAGCATATAACCAGTTTAAAGAACTGTTTTTGCAATCCATCATCCTTAGTTTTTAACCAAATTCAGGAAATGCAGTTTTTATGTAACTTCCTGGACCTGAATTAACTGCTGTTACCACAGGTTGTAATAAACCCTCAGTAGTTCTGTAAAGTATGATTGCTCACAGTAACAGGTTATACATACATGCAGAATATAATGATAGTTGCAACCTCACAAATTAGAGCTAGAAAGTACAACACTCGTGTGTAAATTTCCAAGTTGCTTTAAACAAACATTGGGTGGTTTCAGAGGAATACAGGTCCTTTAAAGGTGAACTGATGGCATTTTATCTAGAAAGTCCAGGGCTGGGTTATGGACTTCTGAAGCAACAGTTTACTGGCATCCTAACCAGTAGCTGCTCTACAGGTCACTGACTGCAGAATCAGGCCAAGAAGACAGGAAAGATTTATTTCCAGTACCCTTCATTTAAACATTTTTAGGTAGGTTCAGGATCTTGGCTATGCACTTTAGAATAACTGTTCAGTTCACCTTTTAGGAAATTCAGTTTGTCCTAATAAAAGTTTAGCAATGTTTCATGAGAACCACAAATTATAAAAACAATTCATTTACATATAAAAATTGCCTTTGAGTTTTTAAAACAGACCAGTGGCATCAGAGAAAGTGGGCTACAGTACAATACAATTCATGAAACTGGTTGTCTGGCAAGAGTTGTGGTACCAGTAATGCAACAGGAACATAAATAACTGCTGAAAGAAATGTTTTTGTTCAGTAGCAGTTTAGTCGGCAATAAAGTGCACAAATGATACAGGAAACGCTCCTTTGCGACTGGGATCTCCATCAATGTGACCAATCTGAAATGAATAAAAGGTCAGGTTGGTAAAAAATGCCAAATGTTAGAAACCTTGAAGAGTATTATAGCATTTGGTTAAACAAACATTGTTCAGAAGAATCTCTTCTGAGAATACTTTGCGTAAAACATCACAACTATTTCTTTTTCTTTCAACTTACCTTTCAAATACTGTGTGCCTACGATGTGGAAGGCCCTTTTCAGAGAGATGTCTCAGATGTTTGCACATAGGGATACTCACACCAGCCAGCGCCATTTAGTCCTACGAGCAGTCGTGGGAGGCACAGAGAGCAGCTAGCGTGACCACCACTCCCCACCTGCCTTTTTTGTGTTGAATGAAGCGACTGAGTATTAGAAAAGTTTGTGAACCGCAGTCACAGAAAGTGGCAAAGGCGTGACCTGGCCCTATTTATATTTAACCAAGCGTTCATGGAAAATTCCAAAAACCCATTTATTTTCACTCTGGGTAAATTATATATTGAGTATGATCTCAACAATGTAAAATATGTAGACAAAGTCTGAAAGAAAACTGCCAAAATGTAAGTGGTGGGCTTTTTTTTTTGGGGGGGGGGGTGAGGTTATGGGCAGCATTTATTTTCCTCTTTTTAACTTTCTGTATTTTCCACTTTATGTCCCTACTTGGTACACGTTATTTAATTCTACTGTCCTCATCTTAAGTAGCTGCCTTTCGCTGGGTACTCGCTGTATCCCTGAGTTCACGCGATCTTTAGGGCAGTGCCGTGGGCTATCTCCCTTTTACAGATGATGCAGCTAAGGCTTACAGGTAAGAGCAACTTGCACAGCCTGTGAACAGCAGAGTTTGCGTTCTTAAGGTTATCAGGTTTGAACCTACATGCTCCTTCCACTCCCGCAGCGACCCAGGATGCCTGGCAAGGCCCACAGCTAGTTTAGAACCAAGACCGACACCCAGGGACTCTGCCTCACAGGTTGGCCTCTCTATTCTCCTCACTCCACTGAACTGGCAGTGGGGGGAGGAGGGTAGGGGCCTCACTTCAGACCCCTCAAATGTGCTCTGGAAACTGCAGCCCAAGTGGCCCGCCCACCCCAATGAAGCAGGAATCAGACACGGGGGATGAATCTGGCCCACTCAGAAATGGATGTAAATGGAGGAAGAGACATCGGTAGGCACTAAGGGGCAAGCAGGAGCCAGCAAGGCCTGTGGACTGGAAAGCAAGACTCTCACTTGATGCTGAGGTGGAGAGAACCACACCGTGAACAGGTGTCTCAGGCCAGGTGGCCAGGGGAGTCGGCCCAGCCCCTCCCTGGACTCTTCACGGGACCCAGCCCAGACTCACCCACCACTCCTGGTCTTCCTCCCCGTCCACAACGATCACATCTCCCTCGGAGAAGGTCAGCTCATCTGGGTTGTCGGCCACACAGTTATAAAGGGCTTTGACCCGTTTGGGCTTTGACTTTGTCTGAGTCAGAAGAAAGGAGAGAAGTCAACTGTTATTATGGCAGGAGGCACAGTTCTAGGGGCCCACAAGAAGTCAAGGTGCGGCTGGAAAGTGTAGCTCAGGAGCCACGGAGACTTCCAGGAGGAGAGGTGAACTAAGACAGGAAGTAAAAGAGAAGCAATCCCAGTGGAGTCACAGAGAGGGGAAACGGAAGCAGCATGGTGTCG